GAAAAATCTAAACGGCTTAAGTTATACGCTTGAAATTTGGCATGTAAGTACATTAGTAAACTTAAAGCTTAGTTACAACAAGGAATTCCCGAAATTCCCACGGTATTGGGAATTAGCTAGAAAATCCTTTTGTATGAAAAAAGTAAACCGCTTAAGTTACACGCTTAAATTTAGCATGTAGATACCTTAGTAAACTGAAAGCTTAGTTACAACAAGGAATTCCCGAAATTCCCACGGGAACGGGAATAAGCGGGAAAATCCTTTTGTATGAAAAATCTAAACCGCTTAAGTTAGACGCTTGAAATTTGGCATACAGGTACCTTAGTAAACTTAAAGCTTAGTTACAACAGAATTTTCCAAAATTCCCACGGGAACGGGAGTTAGGAAAAAACATTTGTATGAAAAAATCTAAACCGCGTAAGATAGATGAAGGGGGTAAAACGGGATCCACGCGTACGAAGTCGCGGGCGGCCGCTATTGCTTAATAACAGGCGATACTAAAAAAATACATAAAATACCCAGAAAATGTCAATAAGTAATAAAATTCAGATATTTTTTACTTTTTTTATCGATAAAAATAGGTTTAGTAGTTCCGCCTATTTTCATATGTGCACTTTCTCAAGACTCATACTGTACTAGCGGCCGCCTAGATACTAGATTTTTTCATACAAATGTTTTTTCCCGCTAACTCCCGTTCCCGTGGGAATTTTGCAATATCCTCTTGTAACTAAGCTTTAAGTTTACTAAGGTACCTGCATGCCAAATTTCAAGCGTCTAACTTAAGCGGTTTAGATTTTTCATACAAAAGGATTTTCCCGCTAATTCCCGTGCCCGTAGGAATTTCGGGTATTCCTTTCTTAGTGCACCTCTACGGTACCTAAGCTACGTCCCTTCCAAATTTCAAGTGCATATGTTTAGCCGTTTAGGCTGTGCGTTGATATGTCACTAAGTCAGTCAGTTTCTCCTTTTATATATTTAGACTAGCGGCCGCCCGCGATTTCGTACGCGTGGATCCCGTTTTAGCCCCTACATCTATCTTACGCGGTTTAGATTTTTTCATACAAATGTTTTTTCCCGCTAACTCCCGTTCCCGTGGGAATTTTGCAATATCCTCTTGTAACTAAGCTTTGAGTTTACTAAGGTACCTGCATGCCAAATTTCAAGCGTCTATCTTACGTGGTTTAGATTTTTTCATACAAATGTTTTTTCCCGCTAACTCCCGTTCCCGTGGGAATTTTGCAATATCCTCTTGTAACTAAGCTTTGACTTTACTAAGGTACCTGCATGTAAAATTTCAAGCGTCTATCTTACGTGGTTTAGATTTTTTCATACAAATGCTTTTTTCCCGCTAACTCCCGTTCCCGTGGAAATTTTGCAATATCCTCTTGTAACTAAGCTTTAAGTTTACTAAGGTACCTGCATGCCAAATTTCAAGCGTCTAACTTAAGCGGTTTAGATTTTTCATACAAAAGGATTTTCCCGCTAATTCCCGTGCCCGTGGGAATTTCGGGTATTCCTTTCTTAATGCACCTCTACGGTACCTAAGCTACGTCCCTTCCAAATTTCAAGTGCTAAATTTGTAAACTATGAAGGGATATGTTTAATCATTAGTATAACATTAATAGCAGGGTTACCATCTGAAATCGGCTATTATTGGCTATTAATGGCTAATAACTGCTTTTAATCCGTTATTAGCCAATTGCTATTAATCGGATTATTAGCACTTACCCATCTCTATACTAGCGCGAGCGAAATGACACTTAAATCGGGTGCGCTCGTATAAACTCGGTAATTCTCGGAAAAAATGAAATCAAAATTAAAATTTATTTGAACAAAATTAAAAAAAATATTCACTTTAGACCAATATTTTTACTTATGAGCGTCAATAATAATATTAATAATAAATAAAAGAAAGTAAAACAATTCAAACGGAACAAAAACGGTATATTCGCATTCGAATATGCGAATGTTCAAAAAATTACATTTGTTACATCACTAATGCGTACCAAACAAATATTGTATGCTTAGTAAAATCAATAAATTGTAATGTTTTGGTTCAATAAGACCTCTAAACCTTTTTCAATTAGAAAGAAAAAAAATCAATATTATCATTACATGACATATTACCTACTTTAAAAATAAATGTAAGGTAAACGGCTACTAGTTCGTGATAGTACGTAAGTTCGTAAGTTTTTTTTCTAGCTCAAATAATAAGCAAATGGAATATTATTTATAAAAATTCTTCATTACTACAAAAACTCTATTATTTAAGCTATCTAAAAAACCAAGTACCAACATTGTGGCGCCAAAAATGAGAGCAATACGAAGCTTCAAACTCTCAGAGAGCCAAAAACAGCCGTGCGGCTTGCAAAGGTTGCTCTCACCGTAAGGTTAGAGCTCCAACTTCTTAAGCTTATAAAAAGGCGAAGGAACGTCCATTTAAATAAAACTTGTAATAGAGGTTTCATGTGTTCCTTGACAATTGATTTGGCTTAGAAAAAAGTTATATGAAAACGTAGAATTCCTTTAAAATTGCGATTAATTGACTCACGAAATAGCGTACATATTATTTTTCGGGTGTCCCCTATTTCGTGACACTACCGATTCAAGGATATTATGGATAACATTTTGATGCTTGGTTTTTAAATAATTATTTATGATAATTTAAATGTAAGTTATGAAACAAATAATGCATTTATTTAAGTTTCTCATGACCTAAATTCGGTATATGTTTCGTTCACTAGAATTTATATGACACGAGTTTGAAGTTCACATATATGACCAATTTTAAGATAAATTAGCATAAGTAGTACCAGCATAATTTTGGTTTTATTTCGATTTGTTTTATTTATCTTTGTTTATTTGTATTGTATATGGGATAGATAATAGTTAATTGACACATTTTGACAATAATCCATGAATTTTACTTGGGGAATTTGGAATAATCAGTATCACGAAACAAGGAACCGTATTATTGTTCTTTTTTCCAAGTTCGTGATATATAAATGTATGGTGTTAGGTACTTTTATGACACATAACATTAAAGAAATCGACATATTTTTTAGTTTTTAATGCTTACCTACCTAAGAAATTAATTAATTACTTACTTTTATTATGAGTCATTGGCGTATCTGGGGTTATTTTCAGGGGGGGGGCTACCCTCACTTCAAAGAAACATGGGGGGGTTACAAATAACAAATCAAAATTTTATGGCTACGAAGGGGGGGGGGGTAAGGCCCCCCACATTTCTAATGGTTATATAAATATTTTCACATATCGCTAGAAATAACAAATCAAAATTTTATGGGTACGAAGGGGGGGGGGGGGGTTAAGTCCCCCCCCCCCTACATTTCTAAAGGTTATATAAATATTTTCACATATTGTTAAAAAAAGTCAAAAGTCAAAATTTCTTTATTTGTTTAGACTAATAAATAGTTCTTACAAATCGTCATTTTGCTCTTAACTTGTTAGAATTAACAAATCAAAATATTATATTAGACACATTATTTTTTATGAATATTTCAGGTAAGCAATATCGTCAATTTCACATCATTATTTTATTCTAAATTTTTATTATCGTTTCTAAATTTATTAAACCCTTAATCATTATTAAAATATCCTAACTGGATGCATAAAACCTTATCCCGAAATAGGGGACATGAGTTCACGAACTTAGAAACAGAGCAAAATTTTGTCACGAAACAGGATCCAAACAAGAGGTCCGCAGAACAATTAATATAAAAAAAAGTTCAAACTACATAACTATAAATTTTGTATTAACTTAATGTCAAAAGACCAAAGTTTAGCATACAAAAGCTTTCATACTGATATCATGCTTGGTTATTTTTAAATAAAATTTTAAAGTCGTAAGAGCCTTAATATACCGAAGTAGGGGGCACTTACCTTACTCGTAACATACACAATGATACTGAAAAGGTATTATTAACTGTATGGTGTCGTAGCATCTTAGTAGGTAAAAAATGCCATGCTGGTCTTCCGTGGTCTTATTTTATAATATCTCAATTAAATAAATGATTATATTCGATCGATACCACATTATTGTCGACACTAGCTACAACACTTTTTATCGACTCCATGTATACTGTACCGAAAAGTTTCGCATAAAAACAATAAGTCACATGAAATCGACCGTAGCGCTCTATAAATAGAGGTCAAAAACACCACGAACATTCCAATATGACTGCCGTTTACGCGCACTGTACTAATGTCAAACTGCCAAGGCCAAACAAATTGCCTACAATACGTATTTACGAGTATTTGTTTATACAATAATGTTATTATTTTATGACAAAATCGTTTGAAATTCATTATTGTTGCGATATTTCATAAATTCAAAGTAAATTGAAGCAGTAATTAGTCGAAAACAGGGCAAAACCCTCCGACCATTTTGACTTCAATTTACGTAATATTTATTGAGAAAATCACTAAACCGTGAATTAAATTCGGCTTTATTAATTCAATTATGATAATAACACCTTAAGATTGCTAAAATATTGTACTTACATTGGAAATAAATCAGAATTTGTAACGCCGCACCGCACCCAAACACAAACTGTCACAGATCACGAGTGAATGTCACAACAAAACATAAACTTTTGAAAGATATTTTACGGCTCTGGGTACAAGCCTTATAAGCCAGTCGTTGAATACAGGGTTTTGCAATCAGTATCCTTTTTAGGGACGACTCAGAATCAGTAACTTATTCGATTTATTGTAACGAAAACATTTTTGTATTCACATCTAATTATTTTTATCCGCTGCGCGCGGTTTCAAAATTGGCACGCGTGCAGGCCGCTACCAATGGATCAACATGGAAATCATTGGAGGGGGGGAAGCCTATGTTCAGCAGTGGATGTCCTATGGCTGAAATGATGATGACGACAATAAAAAAAATGGATATTGATTACAAAATCACCTTGTATGATCAAAAATTTAACGGTTAAAGATACTTAAACGTAAAAACTGTCTTTTGTCACCAGGCTCTGTGAAGTGATGGACCTGGATCCGGTACCGATCCTGATGTCGATGGTGATCTTCAGCAACATCGGCGGCACCGCCACGCCGGTGGGAGACCCGCCGAATGTCATCATAGCCTCGAACAAGATTGTCGTCACGTCCGTAAGTATCTTATCTTATGTAGGACCGCGAATGAGTGCAGTGCACGTCGACTCATTGGAATCTTTTGTACTTTTTTTTATCCACAACAAGGAAGCTCTTGGCCTGTATCTCACCTGATGGTAAGTGATGATCAGGCCAAAGGTGGAAGAGAGCTTCACCCGGAATCCTCAACCACGGAGGAACTAGCTATCTTACCTCTAACTGCCGGAACACAACAATGCTGTTAACATTGTTGTTATGGCGACAGACTTAGGTAATATGGTGGTAGCTAACCAGGCGGACTTAGAACAAGCCCTACCACCAACCAAACCGAACAGAAAAATCTGCCCCCACTGGGAATCGAACCTGGGACCTCTGCGTCTGGAGCAGGTGGTCTTACGACTAGACCACAGAGGCGGTTCCCTTTACCTCTATCCCCCCTCATCCGCAAAAAGTGCTGGATAAGCCGACCTCAGGAGACTTATCCTAGTTCTAGTTAGCGCGTCGCATTCGCACAGTAGGTGTTTCATGGACTCCGCATGTTCTCCAGCTACGTCCGTAAGTAACAAAGTATTAGAAAGAAAGAAGTGTCTGTGGTCTAGTGGTAAGATCACCTGCTTCAGACCAAGAGCCCCGGTTTTGATTCCTAGTGGGGGCATAATTTTCTACTCGGTTTGGTTGGTTCTACTATCTTACCATCAATATTACTGACATTCCCTCAGCTAAAAGCTGTTCTTTTCTTCCAGGGCATAAACTTCACGAACTTCACGTTCCACATGACCCTGGGGATCCTGCTGGTGTGTGTCCAGACCTACTTCCAGCTGCGGTTCATATACAGGGACACTAACAAACTCCGGCTGAATGTACCGAGGGAAATACAGGGTAAGCAACTTTTTTATGTGGTCAGAAAAATACTTGAAATTACATGCAAAATAATGGTAAATGGGAATATGGTTTCCACAAAATATTTTTAATCTTATTCCCTAATTTTACAGAAGACTTCCCTTGACAGTCAGAAGGCGTTCTTAGCTTTGCCAATCAGACCACGTTCTTAGCTTCACAGAACTCAACATAACTAAACAGAATGTATTTCCTAGAATTGCCACGCAGAAACCGCGTCGTAGTGGTCAAGACTTTTTTCTGTATAACCACTCAAAATTGGCAGAGACTTCCTTAATATGGCATTAAATTAGCCTTAGTGCCTACCTACCATTCTTCTTCTTCTTATCGTGTCGACAACAAACCTCCACAGTGTCAGCCCAAAACTCCGCTACAAGAGTGGCGTTGTCAGCAGCATTCATTAAATCCTCATGCATGCAGTTCCTCGGGCACTCAAGGCACGACATCATGTGCTTCATCGACTGGGGAACAAAACCGCACCTGCACTCCATTAAAGAATGAAATTAAAAATTAAACTTAATACCATTTATTACAGAAATAAAGCAGCAAATAGCAATATGGCGGCGCGCAGCCGACTCGCTACCCCACTTCAGTAAAGACGAGCATGTAGTAAGAGAGAGGCTGGAGAGAAAGGTGAAGAAGCTGAATGTCCAGCTGGAGACCATGGTCAAGGAGAGCAGCAAGAGAGCGTGCCCGAAAGACACGTTTAAGAGCACCCTGGCTGAGATGAAAGAGAAGGTAAGATTAGAAAGAAAGAAAAAATATTATTTTGTGCTTCAGGTCCTTTCTGTGATCTGAGTTTTGTGCCAAGAACAAAAACAAAGCATGTTACAGGTTGGAATTTTGTAATGCCACCTGGAGGGAAAGTACCTACTCTTAATACTGTAGATAGAAAATTTTACTCAAGGAAAATATTCCTTTATTTTTGATAAGAGATAGAACTGCATTCAGACTTCCATAAAATTTCTTGCCACACCCGGGAATCGAACCAACTAAAATCGGTTTAAAATTACACCCTGTATTTTAATTATTGTATTTTTGTTTCAGTACAAGATCAGGGACAAGGCACTCCTAGTGAAGGCGACTGTAGCGATAAGCTTCGTAGTAGCCGTGTTCTTCTTGCATTCCATTCCTGAACTAAGTAAGTATAACAAAATACCTCGAAATCAAAGTCATCTTCCTTTCTCACAAGGGATTTTCAAAAAAAGTCTCTCTAGAAAACTACAGAAACTACAGGTATAGCACTCAACCACAGAATAGGTCCTTCTGACTTGGTGAGCCCCACATAACACCTACCCTGTCCCCGCTGCTAATTCCATACCATATTTTATTCCGAATGCAAGAACTAATATGCTAAAAGAGGCGCCAATTACCAGAACATTGCGTACACTTAATGTAGTAGCTAGAACCGTTGACATATTCAGCTGTTCTTTGACTGAATTCACAAAGGTTACATTATTTATTTTATGTTATAGCCATAGCGGCAATCTTAATTGTTAAATATGTACTAATTAATCTACTCTATCGCATTGGGGTAACCTGTAATGTTAGAACTAAGATTGTTATTAAATAAATAAATAAATAAATAAAAAATTATTTAAATCGCTCTAGCCGTTTAGACGTGAAGAAGTAACAAACATACACACTCACTCGCCTTTATAATATTAGTGTGATTATGATCTTGTAAGTGCAAGGGTTCTAAAATGTCATAAATTCTATCATCAGACCGTATATCGCTCGGCTGGACAGCATTACTGGGTGCCATCCTGCTGCTGACCCTGGCTGATAGAGAGGACTTGGAGCCGATCCTGCACCGAGTGGAATGGTCCACGCTGTTGTTCTTCGCTGCTCTGTTCGTGCTGATGGAGGTAAGAACAGCAATCTTTTTTTTATGCATGACAAAGCAGGTATTTGACCGCAATCGCACCTGGTGTTAAGTGAGATGCAGTCTAGGATGGTACATAATAATATCTGCCTTGTAATTGCCTATTCACTCTCGCCTTGAAAAGACCCGGATTATAGTGCTCAGGAAAGAAAGCATCTGCGTCTTTTGGTTTTTAAAAAGGGTTTCCGTAAGTATTTGGAGCTGCAAGGTTCTGGAATGGAGGCTACGTAACTGCAAATGCAGCGTGGAACGTCCACGGAAATCATTGGGGGAGGCCTATGTTCAGCAGTGGACGTTCTGTGGCTGAAATGATGATGATGATGAAATGGAGGATTTGTCCTACACTCCCCACGCTGGCCAGACGGGTTGGGGAGGCCCGATGCTCGCATATAAAGCCTTTTTCAGACAATTGGTGCTCATTGGTGAGGCACTGAGGTAGTAACCGTGGGGTTGTGCCCAATTAAGTAAAGTCAGCGTCAAATGGTTCGTCATGACACCCAAAGTAGCCAAAAAGTAGGTACGTCTTTAGGTAGGTAGGCGCCACTGGCGAATGCTAAGACTGGTGCCAATCTGGTGGGTTCACCAATTGGCGCCACTATCGTAAACAATATTATTTTAAAGCAAGTGACATGGATCTTACACAAGGTACATAGTGTGAGTTTTGAAAGAGGGGGATTGTGCTCTTTTGTGCTCCCTACCCTAGGGAGGCTTACGTCCAGCAGTGGGCTTTTATTAGCTGATAGAAGAATAGACATATTTTTAACGCGTGAATTTCATAATTAACTCAAATTTTTGTTGCAGGCTTTATCAAAACTCGGGCTGATACAATTCATCGGCGGTTTGACTGAGACTCTCATTTTGAGGGTAGACGAGAACGCGCGGCTTGCTGTGGCTATACTCCTGATGCTTTGGGTATGTGGTTAAACACGGTTATACCACAGTTATAGGTACATAGCACACTTATCAACCCGGAAGGGGATCAACACCTTTCGCCGCGCTGTCAAGTGTCAACCGAGTACATGCAAAGAATACTGACCACCTCGTTTTGATTGATACGGTAACGATCCGTTTCCGGGCTTATAAGTGTGCCTCGCCTTTTATCGGTGGAATGAGGGTTCGAACCCCGCCGCCACTGGACTGGAGCTGGTGAACCTTCTCGTAACGCTGAAAATCAGTTACGAGACAAGCCCTGACGCGGTCTTGATGTATACTGAGCCTTTTTGTCAGAGGGGCGCAAGCAGCTATCTGTCCATTTGTGTATCTCTTTCATTATGTACAGTCGACAGCACATCAAGCTATACATTTTCGTTGCAAAGTCGCCCCTATCGCAACTACGTAAGATACCACAGTGTTTACGTTGACGTGCTGTTGACCGTACCTATGTCTTTCCTGCTTGTATGTCTTTCTTTCAAATAAAAACTATTATACAAGGTTATTTTTTGTATATACGAAAGCCGAAACACGTGTCACGTATTTTAATCTTTAGAATCAGTATAAAAAAAATTAAAATGATACCTTAAAAACTCACGAAGTTCCAAGCTTTATTTGTTGTCCCATTATCCGCACGCGAGTGTAGACATCGTACAGCGCGCGGCACTTTCGTTGTTGACAACGCAATGTTTGTTAAGCTTTGACAACATTTTCCATACGCGCAGAACATTTTAGTAAGATGTCCGTAAATATTATTTAGTCAAAATGTAACATGATATAAAAAATATTGCGATGGATTCTATTAGATACTGATTCTGAACAAATAGTTTTAAGGTTTCGTATATACTAAAAATAACCTTGTATTCTATTCTATTCTAATTTAAGGATTTTAGGCTCGGTTTTAACCAAGGCGGAGCGGCTTAGAGCGGAGCAGAGAAGTTTTTTGAAACACCAATCAGATTCCATTAACACATCTCCACTCCGCTCCGCTTCGGTGGAAATTGATCGTGCGGAGCGGTACGGTATTTCATAGATAGCATTAGACTGACAGCTGACAGCTACGCACAACTATCACTTCTCGTCTCCGCACCACTCCGCTTAGTTCCGCTTCGCTTTGGTAGAAATAGTCTGTCAGCTTCGCCGCACATCTCTCGTCTGATGTCTGCACCGCTCTGCATTGGTGGAAACCGGGCCTTAGCTTTCCACGAGGGGTTTACAGAAACGGGTCAGTTAGGCCCGCCATACACGGACAGCTCGAGCAGTTAGTCAGTGATCAACATACACGGACCACTCTTTGTAGTCAAGAGTCAACAGCTTGAAGCTGCCAGTGATAACCGCTCGAGCAGTTGGTTCAACAGTTCGAGCGGTGGGCAATTTCAAATCAGTAGCACCATGGATTTTGAAGAGGAAGCACTGACGACAGTTCGGCAGTCAGTGTATGGCTGGCGACTGCTTGACCACATGATAAAAATTCACCGTGCTGTCGACCGCCCGAATCAGTTGCAACTGCTCGAGCGGTTCGTGTATGTGCGTCCATAGAACTCTGCAGTTCGCTGTGCAGTCGCAGCTTGAAGCTGTCGACCCTGACTGCTTCAAGAGGCCCGTGTATTGCCGGCCTTTGATTGTATTTTGCTTGTTCCAGGTATCCGGCCTAACCTCGGCTTTCGTGGACAATATTCCGTTGACCACGATGATGATCAGGATAGTGACCTCTCTGGGATCGAACCCGAACCTGAACCTGCCTATGACGCCGCTCGTCTGGGCGTTGTCTTTCGGAGCCTGTTTGGGAGGTAAGCGCTTTTGGAATAGCTCAATTATTAATGTAGATTACATTTTCAATTGTGGTATACCCACATTACACAAGCATTAAGCATTATAGAGTCGAACCTTAACTTCAAACTCCTCCTTTGTTCTTCTGGTTAATTTCGTTGCGGGTCCAATGACAGTTACCTTACCCCTGGGACAAACTTGACCTTCAATTGTTGGGTTTTTATTGGTGGTCAAGCTGTAGATCCTGGCTACACAGGAGTTGCAGCAGTGGGAACGAGAGGTGGGAATAGTCCCGTAAGCGTTATAGAGGCATTTACTTACCTAAGCTGGAGGAGTTAACGGGATTAGGGTAATTTGTACAATACTAATGAACTATTCTGTTACTTTTATCAGGTAACGGCACTCTCATAGGCGCAAGCGCGAATGTGGTCTGCGCAGGAGTGGCGGAACAACATGGCTACCGTTTCACATTCATGCAGTTCTTCAAGATCGGCTTCCCAGTCATGATCGGGCACCTCTTCGTCGCTTCTGGATATCTACTTCTATGCCACTGCGTGTTCACTTGGCACTAAATGAAGTTTAAAGTATTTAGAGTTGAAAATGCTCAAGCTCAGCGCCAGTTTACATTATGTGCTAGCTACTGCGTACTATGACATATGAAATGTATTACAGATTGTACAGCGCCCCTAGTGGATGCTTTCAATAACTAAAATCTCATAGGTACATTAATTTCATAATATGTCATACCCAGTCGCTAGCGATGACGTATAATCTAAGCTTGCACTAAGCGCTCAGTCCTTCTTGCTGCCAATAGATGGCGTTGATCGCACATTAGATCGCGGTGGCAATTTGTCTCATTAATTATAAATAAAAAAAGTAGCGTACTTACAACACCGTTTTATATTTTATGCAAAATTAAACTTAGTTTCCTAATAAGGTAGTATGATTGTGATATTGCAGTATTTTAGCGAACAAAATCTTAGTTTTAACCATAAAATAAATAATACAGTTTATATTATAATATAATTATATTTTATTATACTGTTGTAGTTATCACTATTTATTTTATATTTATGAGTTTTTTATTCGTAATTTTACAGTCAATGTGAATTTATATAACAATTAGAAAAAGTTATGGGAAAATTTGAAAAGAATTAGTGTACATGAATGTGGGTCATAATTTGAAATTACTTCAAATGAACATCCCAAACATATATCTGTATGTATTGATATAGGTATTAAGTGGTTGATCTATGATGATGAACATGAATTTTACTATTTATATTATTTTTATCAATCACAGTGCACAGCACAATTTTGAACTTCATGAGTGCAGTTTCACAAAAAAAACTGAGTTTTATTTATTTACATAAAAATCAGTTTATACAGATTTAAACAGAGTTTCAGAGGTGTTATACATACTTTTATGTAGATAATATAATCATAGTAAATTAAACAATATTAAAGTTTTAAGATGGCTATGTGAGATTCGCCAGTATTATACAATATTTATACATAAAATTAAGAACGCCTATTTTTGTATACCTTAAGTATAATTTAAAGCTAATGTTTGTAACTAAGTTTAAATTAATGATTTTGGTGATCGAAGTGTCGTGTATCTTGGGATTTTACTAAGCATGTAGAAACTTTAATTATTTTTATATATATTTGTTAATTTTTTTATATATTTTATATTATTACCTCGTGAGTGTGTGATAACAACCAGTTTTAAATGGTTTTTATTCGAGGTTTTCATATTTTTATTTTATTCTTAATTACTTTTTTTTAAGTACCTGAAGCTGTTCATAAAAGCGGTTTGAAACTAATAATAATTTTATCGTAATAAGTATAAAAAAAACAGAAGTAATTTTGAATTTTTATAACTTGAGTAGAATTACATTTAAATCTACTCTCAGAGTAAATTACAATTTAAAAATAAGTCAGTGGTTTATTTGTTCGGCTTTTGCAAAAACCGCCTTACTACAGTTACAATGTTTATGTAAGCATTTAGATTATAAGTAATTTAAATCACAAATGACGTAATAATAGCAATAAAGTAATTAAAACGAAATGCATTTTATTACTTTCTTTTTATAATCTAATAAACCAGAAGTTTTATCAGGTGATAAGATTTTTTATCTGGGTTATAAAACATTATACTATTATTATTTTATTTAACACTGGTCTCACCAACCCAGCCCGTCTGGCCAGCGTGGGGAGTGTAGGACAAATCCTCCATTTGCCTCTGGTAAATTAGAGGGTCGTGCTCCTGCAGTGGAGACTAAATGACCTGATGATGAACTGGTCAATTTTATTAAAAACATTTGGGGAGGATTGAAGAAGTGTCTTTTGCATAATGATTTTATAATCTAAACCTAAATTAGCAAAATAAATAGTAACCAACCGGCAGCGGTGCGTTGTGATAAATATAAATATAATTCAATGTCATTGAGCCAAGATAGCAACGCAGTTTGAATAGTAAAGAGTAGGCTCACTTACGGCCTTGTCACACTGGCGGATAACAAGCGTATTCAAAGCGGAGCAGCGACGCAGCGAACAAGTCGCGGATTCTCAACGTTTCCGCCTCGAGTTTTCGCGGCGTTTCCGTGGCGTCTCCATCGCGGACACGCAGCGTGTTCGCTGCGTCGCCGCTCCGCTTTGAAAACGCTTGAAATCCGCCAGTGTGGCAGGGCCCTTAGGTGTGTACCAAATTCATTTTTTTTGTATTTGCCTAGAGTGTTGCATGTTAGATTTTTAAAAAGTACTTTTTTTAAAGTAAATAAATAAACGTTTTTTTATTTATTTATTTATAATTATTAAATAAATCGAGGAAATCATTCTAGATTAGATTAAAACAAAACTTTAATTCGACAAAGGGACAAAAAATTGATTGCAAATAAATCTTACAAAAATGCAAAGCCTTGGAAACAAAACTGACGGCAATTTATTTATTAAACAACAAAAAAAATTAATAAAAACTACACAATATACGAAAAGGTGTGTTTAAAAAAAAGAGTCAGAGAACCAATATCCGTCTTTCACGATCATTGGTTCATCCATAGAGGCATTGAAGAAGTCAAAAAAGAACTGAATTAAAATTAAAATAACATTTACCATTGAAGCAGTCTCACCGATTCTTCTTACATTATAAAAGCGTTATGTTTAGTCAGTCAGTAGCACAACAGAGCAGAGTCCACACGCGTTCTGTCCGCCATTTTGTCAAACAAAAAAAAAACATACGGGTCGAATTGAGAACCTCCTCCTTTTTTTTAAGTCGGTTGAAAATAACGAGTTCACGCATCCATTTTGGCGCCAAAGTGTTTTTGGTAGTTTGCAAGTGTCTTGAAAATGAACAGAAGTGTTTTTTTGAGTCTTTTTGAGTAATAGAGGCTACTCACGAATATTTGATAATAATAATATTGTGTGCTGTTTGTTAGTGTTTATGTAGAGACCAATAATAGTGGTAATTGGTAAGTTACTACAAGATTAAATAAGTTTACTTACACAAGAATTTAAGGGTAATATCGTAGTGTTATTAGGGTAGTAGCACTAGGCTTTATCCAGGATTTCGTATACTAATAATAGTCGTCATAATTTCAGCCACAGGACGTCCACTGCTGAACATAGGCCTCCCCCAATGATTTTCAGATTGACCTGTTGGTAGCGGCCTGCATCCAGCGCCTTCCTGATACTGATAATGATATTTTTATGTCATAAAATCAGGAAAATCGGCAAGTCCTCCAGCTAGGTTTTTTTTTTCATTTATTATCATTTTACAAAGGAAGTTCTTAAACATATTACAATTACTTAAATGCATTGTCATGTGACGATTTGCGAAAATCTCTAGCAAAAGATAGGGCAAAATCCTATGGAGTCTACAGTCGAAAATAGACGAGTCTTTGATTGGTCCAAAATGATAATTTGACAAACTCAGCTAATATGCGAACATCAGGCCTCCCCAACCCGTCTGGCCAGCGTGGGGAGTGTAGGACAAATCCTCCATTTGCCTTCTGTAAATTAGAGGGTCGTGCTCCTGCAGTGGAGACTGCATAACTTGATGATGAAATGAACATACGAAAACCGCGAAATATACCTAAATTACCTACAAAGTGCAAAAAAGGTCACACTGATAAAATGAAACTCACCTTTATGTTGGAGTATTGTTATGATAATTCGTTATTTCAAGTTAGTCACTTTTTACTCGATGCAGAATAATTGGTCAGCCATTTAGTGTTGGTGAAGAAGAACTAATTGTAGAATAGAGATAGAAACATACACATACAGATATAGAACCTCCTTTTTCTTTGAAGTCGGTTAAGTAACAGTAAAAACAATTTGCCCACAAGTTTAGTACCAAATAAATATTATTTCTTTCTTTCAAGTGGTCAAGTCTAGTGAATACCATCCGGATAAATCTGGATTTCGCCAGTACATGCACATGTTAGTACCTACATCTAACATTTAGGCGCTAATACAACTACATAAAGATACCCTATTTAGCTTGATGTACACTATCTATAGATCTAGAATCTAGATCGTAAAGACTGAGATATCGCACAATAAACTGTTTATTTCGCTTGATAACAAAGAATTTGTACAGATAAAATAATAATAATAATCAGGGCAGCTTTGTGGCGAGCTGTTGGTGAGTAGCGACACCACGGGGCCAGTTGTTAATCCGAGTGCTCCCGAGAGTCGGTCAAGACCCTCGTCTTCGGCTTGCCGAAGTGGAATCCGAGAGGGTCTGCAGGACTTTCACCTCTGGCTTGCCTTAACCGGCCGGCCAGAGTGGAGTCGCTAGAGCTATATGCTCCAGGGGTGGAAGTGTTAAAGGGCATAACGCCGCGAGTAACTTCGGAGAAAGCGCAGCACACCTCTCTACACCCCTGAGCTGGCAGACGCCAATGTTGCCCCTCAGTCCGGTCTATACGACCCATGACGCCAGGGGGGGCCCATTTAGTCGCTGGCTAGTCACCGCCTGCCATTTTTTCAGTCCGAGACTATGAACCAGGCAGGTGTCCCGTAGTCTCCATCCATAGCCCAGTAACCAGTCCATCCATCCTTCATCCATAACCCTAGTCCATTCTCCAATAACTGCAATAGCTCCTGTGCACAGGCTGGGGATGGTCTCTGGCTACATCCCATGATATAGTCAGAGACTAGATCCAGCATGTGCACCACTTTCACTTTTGTCGATTATTTTGCGCTTAAAACGGCCTCTACGTGTTGGATCTGTATCCCCACGCAAGCCTTATAAAGGACCGGGCCACTTTTGACCCGTGAGCTCCAAAGCGTACAAACATAATAATAATAATCATTTATTCGCCTTAAATAGGTGGTTACAGAGTAGTTCTTATTTGATTACATATAATGTTACTTAAGACCTATTTAGTCATAGACTATGACATGCAAATATACAGAGTGGTTACAGAGTGAGAAAAATTAAATATAATGTCAATTATGATAAGTCAATAAATCCATGCATCAACCATATTATCCATACAACATTTCAAGTTATTCTTTGTACTTTTAAGAATTCATCCACTGAATAAAACGTATTTTTTATAAGCCACTCTCGAAGAACTTTTCCAAACTGTCTGGTTTAGTCAGGACTTCTAACGATTATGGTACAGTCAGCGCCAAATAGTTCGTTTCACCCTAAGTGGCCAAAAAGATGACAACACAACCTTATTCCAAAAGTAACAAAGACGTGCTGCGAAGTTTTTGGCTACTTTGGGTGTCACGAGCTATTTGACGCTGACTGTACTTAATTAGGCATTAACCGCCTCTGTGGTCTAGTGGTAATACCAACTGCTTCAGACGCAGAGGTCCCGGGTTCGATTCCCAGTGGGGGCAGATTTTTCTGTTCGGTTTGGTTGGTGGTAGGGCTTGTTCTAAGTCCGCCTGGCTAGCTACCACCATCTTACCTAAGTCTGTCGCCATAACAACAATGTTAAAAGCATTGTTGTGTTCCGGCAGTTAGAGGTAAGATAGCCAGTTCCTCCGTGGTTGAGGATTCCAGGTGAAGCTCGCTTCCACCTTCGGCCTGATCATCACTTACCATCAGGTGAGATACAGGCCAAGAGCACGCCAAGAGCTTCCTCGTTGTGGATAAAAAAAGAACCCCAGTTTTACCGCCTCAGTACCTCACCAATGAGCACCATCGGGCATGTCTGAACAAGGCCTAATAATAACATCAGGCCTCCCCAGCCCGTCTGGCCAGCGTGGGGAGTGTAGGACAAATCCTCCATTTGCCTCTGGTAAATTAGAGTCGTGCTCCTGCAGTGGAGACTAAATGACCTGATGATGATGACGATTATCTGTTTATCTGGACCAACAATTGTGTACGTTTACCTACGTTACTACAACGTTGATCGTGATAACGACATTATTTCATGCATTAATCGTAAGTAAATCAACATGTGATATTGATCGATACCATAAACATAAAATGCATGCAATCGTAACCCGAAAAAAGACCATTCTGGGGTGTCTTACCTCAACAACCTCTTCTCCTCTCTGTCTACCTTCTACTTCTAGTGTGTGTGTGTGCTATGTGAGCTATCGCCCCGGGTGCCGACAAATCATAGATAGCAGAAAAGCGCTGGATGCAGGCCGCTACCAACCGGTCAACATGGAAATCATTGGGAGATGCCTATGTTCAGCTGTGGACGTCCTATGGCTGAATAAAATTATGATGTAACTACTAAGTTGCCGACTAAGTATCATCAAAATTCCGATAGTCATTTCGTCGATGCCAATTTCTAAGAACATTCATTTAGTTATTTAATGAACAAATGAAGTAGGATGATGCGATGACGCTGTACAACAAAACAGCCTAGCAAACGTTACTAGCGGCCGCCCGCGACTTCGTACGCGTGGATCCCGTTTTACCTCCTTAGCGGTTGAATTGTGCAAAATCCCGTCTTAGTAAGCACCTACTTTCTAAAAAGAACACCTATGCAAAATTTGAGACTCCTAGCACTTGTAGTTTCTGAGATTTCGTGATGAGTGAGTGGGTCAGTCAGTCACTGACCTTTTGCTTTTAAATAGATATAGATTAAGTATTACCTACTTATTATTTGTTTACAGAACCAGTATGACGTACCCAGCCAGTGGATAAATAACGTACTTCAAGATGGATCGTCTGTGGAACAGCTTCAAAAACAGGAAAAATCACAAAGACTCAAAACAGGAGTTAAGTAAAAGCAGGTAGGAAATAAGTAAATTTTCAGATTTTGTTCCCCAGTCGACGAAGCACATGATGTCGTGCCCTGCGTGCCCGAACAACTGCACGCAGGAAGATTTAATAAAGGCTACTGACAACGCCATTCTTGTGGCGGAGTTTTGGGCTGACGCTGTGTAGGTTTGTTGTCGACACGACAAGAAGACGTAAATTTTCAGATAATTTCGTTTCTACTGCAGGAGTACGACCCTCTCGAAATTACCAGAGGCAAATGGAGGATTAGACTTACACTCCCCACGCTGGCCAGACGGGCTGGGGAGGAGAGGAACCTACGCAACTGATACGTGGGTCTAGGAATGAACGTGACAAAACTAGGGTTATGTTCACAGACAGACACCCGTATTCACAATCGATGCTTGCTTAAGTGAAGCAGCAAATCGAACGCACAGCGTTGAATAGAGCTCTGTGATTGGTTCGTGTGTCACCCTGTGCGTCCACGCGCACTGTGAGACCTCATAGTAATGTTTGTGAATACGGGCGTAAGTACCTCATCTCTGTTAGTACTGGTACTTATTATTATTCTGTGGTACTGTAACTTATTACTGTCCTCCCCAACCCGTCTGGCCAGCGTGGGGAGTGTAGGCCAAATCCTCCATTTGCCTCTGGTAAATTAGAGAGGGTCGTGCTCCTGCAGTGGAGACTAAATGACCTGATGATGATAAGGTCATCACTGGAAGGATCATTAGGGTCTAAAATTCATCTTCAGGAACTTTCCTTGCAGGTATTCGCCCATCTTGAGATGTTCTTCTGATCTTTGATTCTTCTACAGGTATTCTCTGGTATCCACCAGTGAGGTCACAGCTGATACTCTTCAGTTATGGCTGGAGCTACCTGAAGAAGTCAAGTATGACCCTGCTCTAGAGCAGATTAGGCAGATCTACGAGAAAGAGCACGGTGAGTCAATTAAATTAATCCAACAAAAATTATGCGATGTGTGTGAAGTGTAGTCTTTTTATTTCCAAAATAAAAGGATGCACACTGCACAGAAAGAGCATACCATAGTAAATGCCTAAGGTATTTGCTTTATGTTCCCGTTAACTCCTTCGTCAGCTTAACTAAATAATAGTTTAAGTTAGGAGTGAGTGAACCGGTCCGAAGGAGAACCAGAGTGACTGACATAGCCCGCAGAATCGCTAAAATCAAGTGGCAGTGGGCGGGCCTCCCACTAGGTGGACCGACGATCTGGTGAAGGTCGCGGGAGGTGCCTGGATGCGAACGGCGCAGGACCGGTCTTTGTGGAAATCCTTGGGGGAGGCCTTTGTCCAACAGTGGACGTCTTTCGGCTGAAACGAACGAACGAACGAGTTAACCACAAAAATCCAGCGTTTAAACTTCTCCCTAAATTAACCCTCAAATCGACATTCCGATTTTACCAACACTCTGGGGCTATTTCGGGCTATTGTCGCAAGTCAAGTCGCAAATTACCGAGCACTTGCAAAAACACAATTACTTACCTAGTATGTTCTTTATAAGGCTATTGCCAATTTCAATATTTGCTTAGTACCTACATACCATAGCATTATGTTACGGATGTTCTAAACTTGGTGGCATCTAAAATTTCGCGCAAACAAAGGTTTATATTACTTACTTAAGTAGGTGGCATGTATGGTGAGTACTTAGTCGACAATTAATTTTATCTTTGGTTTTTTACCCGACTGCTCGTCGCAATGGAGTGGTAATGTGTTTTTATTTTAAACAGATTTCTAGTAATTTGTGTAAAAACAATAGTCTCGCTAGCCCCTCCTTCAAAGCTAAATGATGCTTGTGTCACAAGTGGGCTCACCACAATAGTCGAGCGGCGGCGGGATTCGAACCCGCGTTCCCCGTATAGATCACTTTAAGTACCTACTCGTACCTATCCCTTTGTTCTCGATGGGATGGATGGGATTCACCTAGACCTGCCTGCCCACACTTCGTCTTCCGACCCGTGGTCGCCACTCGAGAACTTCTGCCCCATCGGCCATCAGCTCTGCTAGCCATTAAGTATGAATCATTATTTCGCGCTCAAGAATATAATTTTCAAACTACCAAAAAACTGTAGAAGTTCGCAAATTATGCTAGTAAGCGAACAATAATGATTTCATGCTAGTTAAATACAAAACTATGTATGGATGACCATGAGTGTGAACATGGATTGCATTACAATAGCTCATATTATGTTATGTTCACATAATTGTGTGAAAAATGATTCTTATACCTACAAAAAACTTTTATATTATGTTGCCAAGACGAATCGTATGGCTCGTGAAAAAGTTATTCTGTATTAATTTCTTGGCAGGTCGAGAAAAAATACCGCTGCGCCCTAGCAAGGAATCGAACCCGAAGCGTTTGCACGCGGTCAACTCAGCACCAGCCCTTGGCAGAATCGAAGAAATCAAAAATGGCGGTCAGAAACATGCCTTTGATATTATTGAGGAGTTGGGTGAGAAGAGTGAGGAGAAAATGTAAGTGGATTTATTGGTCTACCGCTTAACTTAGTGCCTGAGTTATGGGAGGGGCACGGGAGAGGGTGATTGACGGTAAAACGTCAGCGAGACTTCAGATTTGTAGGCCCTCAATGTCACCCCTTCTGTTCGTTCGTTTCAGCCGAAAGACTTCCACTGCTGGACAAAGGCCTCCCCCAAGGATTTCCACGAAGACCGATCCTGCGCCGCTCGCATCCAGGCACCTCCCGCGACCTTCACCAGATCGTCGGTCCACCTAGTGGGAGGCCTGCCCACGCTACGTCTTCCGGCTCGTGGTCACCACTCCTTTCCTGCCCCAGCGGCCATCAGCTCTTCGAGCTATGTGCCCCGCCCACTGCCACTTGATTTTAGCGATTCTGCGGGCTATGTCAGTCACTGGTTCTCCTACGTATCTCCTCATTTCTGATTCGATCACGTAGGAAAACTTCTGTGCCGCTCCCATACCTCCGCCACTGACTGACTTATACGTTGGACCACTATAACTCTAGGCAGAAAAGAGGGGTCTTTATTTAAACACCCTGCATTCTAGTTGACTAGTCTGCCTGTGAGCCATCACTAGCTTCGAAAGTTCCCAAGCTGATAAACCGATTTTGATCTAGTTTTTCTTTCGAAAGGGGACTTAATCCCTAGTGTTGAGAGATTTTATTAATTTTGTAATCGTAAATAAGAAAAAAACTACTTAAAATATCCAATCTGAATTTCCTTCCAATGATTTTAACTTTTCTTTTGATTTTCAGCTCTAACAACGTTAGAATCAGACAAAAACCGTCCAGGGTAAGTATTTTGAAGTTATCCTAACATCTACTAAATTGATATGAATATCGGTCCTCCCCAACCCGTCTGGCCAGCGTGGGGAGTGTAGGCCAAATCCTCCATTTGCCTCTGGTAAATTAGAGGGTCGTGCTCCTGCAGTGAAGACTACAATAACCTGGCAAGGACCGACGACATCGTAAAGGTAGCAGGAAGGCGCTGGACGCAGGCCGCTACCAACCGACCATTGTGGAAATCATTGGGGGAGGCCTATGTTCAGCAGTGGACGTCCTATGGCTGAGATGATGATGATGAAATTAGAGGGTCGTGCTCCTGCAGTGGATTCTAAAATAACTTGATGACTAAACCTGATAATGACAATTAAATAAATGTGACATAAATACCTATGACTAAACTGGCAAGGACATAAAGTTTATTTTTAACACGCTTTTATTAGGTCGTCGTGTATGTAACTAACTATGTAATGGAATCTAAGAATCTGAATTACACGCACTTCTAATTCGTGTATCATCATGAAACGACAATTGTAGATTAGATGACAATACAATATTAAGCTGGTCTGATGATGGGACTGGAAGGTGGCCATAGGAACTCCTAAACGAAACGGTGGAATCGCATCGAGTTTGGGTTCGTTGGATTTGTCTTTTCGAGCACTTTAGTGCTAGATGATGTCCAGGGTTTTGATGATGGAGTCGGGAGATAACCAAGGAACTCTAAACTAAGAGCGTGTTTTTAGTTTTTTAAACTATTAATTATTATTTCAGACAGTCCACGCGAAATACTACACAAAGATGACAATTTTACTGGCGTGCTGGATGTTCTTCACAGCTGTATTCTTGATGTACAATGAGAAGCAGGATATAGTGAGGACTTCGTCCATAGTACCAGGAGAGGAGAAAAGTAAGATCATGTTTTTAGTTTCTCTGCGAACTTTTTTTAATGCAGGAAAAGGCAGGTATTTGACCGAAATCACACCTGATACCTAAGTGAGATGCTAATTTAATCTAGGTTGGTATACAGCCTGCCCTGTAAGTGCTTGTTCACCTATAAGACCATCCGTACCCAATGATTAGGCTTGAAGGGGATTTTGGGGATGAAGCAAACTGGTGAAGATTATGACACAGACCGCAGTATCTATTGCCAAACATAAGTAGCAGTGGGCGGAGCATATAGCTCGTCGAGCTGATTCAGAAAAGACAGAAAAGTGGCGATTGGGTAGGCCTCCCACTTGGTGGACCGCCAATCTGTAGGAAGCATCTGGATGCGGGATTCGTAGGACCGATCGTTGTACAAATTGACACTACTTTTTGGGACACCTGTATACTGTGGTTTAGCCCCAGGTTTAACTTTCCCTGGGACAAACTTGAACTTCACTGGTTGGGTTTTTAGCGGTCAAGCTGTAGATCCTGGCTACACAGGAGTTGCAGCGGTGAGGCCGAGAGGTGGGAATAGTTCCGTAATAGGCCCCATCTAAAAATTTGACCTCCTTTCAGATTACACGCTTCATTTCGATGGGGAGCCAAAAGTGCTAGTAAAACTCACTGGGCCATTCCTAACTGAGAATGCTGAGATGAAGATGAATCAGAGTCAGCTGGATGGAGCCCATAGGATGATGGTGTGGCTTGAAAGAAGCGATTTGAGCAGTATTAGAGAAGATACAGAGGTAAATATGTTATTTAAATAGCAAGAGCAATTCAAATCTTGAATACCTATAGTCAAAACACATTTTAAGTATGATGACCAACTTTAATGAAAAGTGGGGCTAATTAACCTTTCCTAGTTGTTCTTGCCTATTTCGTACAGGAATTTATACTAAAACCTGTATTCACAAACGATGCTTGCTTAAGTTAAGCAGCATCGAACGTATAGCGTTGAATAGAGCTCTGTGATTTGTTCGTGTGTCACCCTGTGCGTCCACTCGCACTGTGAGACCTCATAATAATGTTTGTGAATACGGGTGTAAGTAACTACCTACTCCCAGTACATACTCTTGTAAACCTTAACACGAGAGGCTGACAATAATAAGTACCTAAGTGATTTTCTATTCTTCAAATCATTGGGGTTGAGAACATCAGTCCAGCAGTGGACGTCCTGTGGCTGAAATGATGATGATGAGTTTCTTGTGCTGCTTCTTCTCTGCACTGGCACTGAAATACACGCCTATTAAAGTGGCATATTTTACATTTCAGAAATCGCAAACCTGGTCAATAATTCTCCAAAATGAGAACTCACTGGACTTCAACATTGGTGTTCCAAGATCTACCATACTCAGAATAGAGTCATACAGAGACTCCAACCAAACGTATTCTTTGAAGATGAACATGACTGCGTCTCGTACTATGCCTTTTACATTGAGTTACATGGTCAACCCCATAGACGCCACTACAGGTGTGATATACTCGGTTGTGTTGCTCTGTGGACTGTACATTTTGATTATATTCGAGGTAAGTTTTAGATCTTTAGATTCCCTATGCACTGATTGCTTGAAGCAGCTAGTATCGATGTTGCATAGTAAACTACAGTATTACACGGAACCGCTCGAGCAGTTGTGACAGCTTCGGGCGGTGGGCAGTGGGCAGCACAGTGAAATTTTAATTGACTATGACTGCAAGAGCGGTCCATGTATAGTGAGTGAGCCTTAGTACCACCCACGTAAAAATACTCATATCTGCGCAATTAAACGTGGTGGTATCTTTCAAAACCGTACATTTTCTGGGAGACTGTAAAGTGTAGTCCGTGGTCACCACGCGAGAACTTTTCTGTCCCAACGGCCATTAGTGCCACACCCACTGCTACTAGTTTGGCAATTTTGCGGGCTAAGTCCCTATGATTATTTTTGTTCTACGGATCTCCTCATTTCTGATCGACAGTAGCTGTTATTGAGCCTTCTTCAGTAATGACGCACGTTTCAGTTCCGTAAATAACATTCATTTATAATTTTACCCTTTTTAAAGATAGTGAACAGAACAATGGCAGCAATAACCGTAGCTACCACCTCCTTAGCAGTGCTAGCACTAGCGGGTGAGAGACCAACGTTACCTGAAGTGATCTCATGGCTGGACGAAGAGACGTTGGTACTGCTCTTCAGCATGATGATCTTAGTAGCCATCATGGCGGAAACTGGGATCTTTGACTTCTTAGCTGTTTATGCTTTTGAGGTAAATATAAGTTACTCATCATCGGGTCAGTTAGTCTCCACTGCAGGAGCTCGATCCTCTCTAATTTACCAGAGGCAAATGGAGGATTTGGCCTACACTACCCACGCTGGCCAGACGGGTTGGGGAGGGCTGATGTTCGCATTTGTCCCTTAGTCACCTTTTACGACATGCACGGGAAGAATAGAAGTCACACGGCCAACGAAGGCCTATGAAGCTACCAAATGCGTGCTGTGTAGGCCAATTCCTCCATTTGTCTCTAGTAAATTGTAGTCGATCATACTCCTGGTGTCGAGAAATGACGTGGATAGTGTGTCGTCGTGCTACTGCAATGGAGACTAAATTTTAATGACCTTATGATGATGAAAACAAAGATCTGAAATTCTTCAAGGCACTCTAGTCCAGCTTTCAAAATGTTCTTATCGTTCTAGATAACGAAAGGCAAGCTGTGGCCGTTGATCTACCTCCTCTGCATCGTCACGGGAGTCCTTTCCACCTTCCTGGACAACGTCACGACTGTTCTTCTGATGTCGCCGGTTACAATCAGGTAGGTAGATGATTAATAGCAGATGGGTCATCATCGTTTCAGCTATAGGACGTCCACTGCTGAATCGATTGGTAGCGGCATGCGTCCAGCGCCTTCCTGTTAACTTTATGATGTCGTCGGTCCACCTTGTGGGTGGGACGCTACGTTTTCCGGTACGCGGCATCCACTCCATTACATTTTGGATTTATTCTTTAAAATTGTTACGATAAACTGTTAGAAAAGTAAAGAACTTGAATTTTCTTTGAATTATCGTACATTTTTATGCTAGAACTGGTTGTAATCCAATTCCTTTTTAGTTAGCATTCCATCCAAATGCCTCTTCATCTTCAGACTCTGCGAGGTGATGGACCTGGATCCGGTGCCGATCCTGATGTTCATGGCGATGTACAGCAACATCGGCGGCACGGCCACGCCGGTCGGTGACCCGCCGAATGTGATCGTCGCTTCGAACAAGGCGGTCATTGATGCAGTAAGTGCAATCATATGGAAAGCTGTCTACCAACAATGCTTACCTACTTAGATAAATGGCGAACTTACTAACAAAGTCATCACTGGTATAGCCGGTCGCCGAGCACGTAGAATTTCGTCCAAGGACCCCAAGCTACCCATCCTTATCGCTCGCGCGACGGGTGGCCGCAGTGTGTGTGCAAGCGCGACAGCAGCTTGGGGTCATTGGACGAAGTTCTACGTGCTCGGCGACCGGGTTTTAGTCTGGTAACACACATTGATGGGCTCGGAAATGCTCGCGACGGCTCGGAAACGTGGCCTCTCACTATAGGCCTTAACAGAAGCTCAAAGTTGCACAGCGTGTGCGGCTATGCTCGGTGTTTCTTTACGAGATCGAATCAGAAATAAGGAGATCCGTAAACGAATTAAAGTCGCTGACATAGCCCGACGGATTAGCAAGCTGAAGTGGCAATGGGCAGGGCATAGTACGTAGACAGCCGATGGGGCAGCAAGGTTCTGGAGTGGAGGCCATGTACCAGAAAATGCAGCGTGTGACGTCCACCCACAAGGAGGACCGACGACCGAGCGTCTATGTGACGTCACGGCTGTCAGGTACACATTTAACTCGATCGGGTTGTACCTAAGGATAATGGGTATATTATTTTTCACAGGGCATCAATTTCACCAACTTCACAGCGCACATGGCTCTGGGCATCGTCTTCGTGACGATTCAGGCGTCTCTTCAGATCCGATTCATGTTCCGTGATACGAATAAGCTGAGGCTGGCTGAACCGAGGGAAATTCAAGGTAAAACAGTTTCATTTATAAAAGTACTTTAACTCTCTGAGAGTTTGAGATCGGTCGCGGAATGTCTGTTCATCTGGTTGATTCAGGTGATCAAAGTGGACTTCTTATCCATGGGTGATCAAAGGACACCAAAGTGTCGACTGAAGTCCTCAATCGGTGACCACCTGGGTACTGGTCTAATCCTGGTGATCAAAGTGGCATAGACCGCGACCCTCCTCGGATATCAGATAGAACACTAAGTTTTCCGGTCCACTCAAGAACTGTCCTGCCTTAACGGCCAGGTCGGTATAGATCGTTTCATCCACGAAGACGCGCCCCACCATTATTCCGCTAATGTTTGAGTGTTATCGGTACTCGCTAAATTATCCATGAGTGCAGACGCACACTACAATAATGTGCAATCGAACTCCCCGCACCCCGCGCTTTCCTCGACCAAAAATTGGTGGGGCGCGTCTTCGTGGATGAAACGATCTATAATCATGAGTAACTTCAAAAAATTAGACATACGCAGTAGCCCAAAAGCTAGAAAATTATGGGCGAGTTATTGCAGAGAAAGTAAAAGTAAAATAATGCTGAAATGTTTCTGTTCTGTACAAATCAATGTTTACTAAAGTTTTTCTATTTCTTATAACCAACCCTGTGTTCCAGAAATCCGCCACCAGATCTCAATATGGCGTCGCGCTGCCGACTCTCTTCCCCACCTCAGCAACGGGGTGGGTGTGGTAAGAGAGAGGCTGGAGAGAAAGATCAGCAAGCTGGACGTCCAGCTCAAGGTTCTGCAGCAGGAGAGCAGCGGGAGAGCGTGCCCGAGAGAGGCTTTTCAGGGGGCGCTGCAAGGGCTAAAGGAAAAGGTAAAATATCAAAATCACAACCAAAAATATTTATTCAGTTTAGACCACAAGTGGCACTTATGACACTTTGACGATTTGTAAAAGTACTATTTAAATAGTCTTACTCTTAAGAAATAAAGAAATTTTGACTTTGACTTTATTCTGTAGGTAGATAAGGTTTCGTTCAAAATTTTGATTCCAGTACAAGATCCGGGACAAGGTGCTGCTGATCAAGGCGACTGTTGCTATTGCGTTCGTCGTCATCGTCTTCTTTCTCCACTCTATTCCTGAACTAAGTAAGTTTTACTCTATAAATCGTGCCATCTACGAAGACGCGCCCCACCATTCTTCCGCTAATGTTTGAGTGTTATCGGTACACGCTCAATTATCCATGACTGCCACGCATACTATAATAATGACGCTCGGATTGCTCGGATCAAACTCACCGCACCCGCGCTTCCCTCTACCAAAAATTAGTGGGGCGCGTCTTCGTGGATGGAACGATGTATACTTTACTAGAATCTGGCATTTTGTTACATAAATTTTATTGTAGCGAATCGAAGTACGCTAAATCAGCTAACCAGCTATAGGTTTCTAACAGGTTAGTAGATTAGGAAGTGGGACCACTTCTCGGAAAACACTTTGGCGCAGCTTGATGGACTGATGCTCTCTAATGTAGGTATAGGAAAACATGTGGGAGCTCGTACTCTTTAGCTAAGCCAGAGGAGACTGAAATGGTGAATGATGATGATAATGGAGGGTCTCTCTACTTTTTTTTAGATCAAGGAATATGAAAGTTGCCCGCAGTCTTTTGACTATTTACCTACTAGGTGGTAATCCTTGGGTGGAGCCTTTGTCCAGCAGTGGACGTCATTTGGCTGAAACGATCGAACGATACTAGTACTGTAAAGCCTTCTTAATTCCTCAGATCGAGTGTCCCTAGCCTGGACGGCACTCTTAGGCGCTATCCTGCTGCTGACCCTGGCAGACAGAGAGGACTTGGAGCCGATCCTGCACCGGGTGGAATGGTCCACGCTGCTGTTCTTTGCAGCCCTATTTGTGCTTATGGAGGTAAGTTGGTAAACCTACAGTAAGTAGAGGTTACGAATAAGGCCCAGGGTTTTTATTATCCACAACGAGGAAGCTCTTGGCCTGTATCTCACCTGATGGTAAGTGACGATCAGGCCGAAGGTAGAAGCGAGCTTCACCCGGAATCCTTAACCATGGAGGAACTGGCTATCTTACCTCTTAACTGCCGGAACACAACAATGCTGTTAACAACAATGTTGTTTAAAAACATGCCACATCTTTCTCTCATTGCCAAAATATGAGCAGCTAAAATGATTTTATTCGTTCTTCTAAGTATTATAGCCTGACCAGGAACATAAAAACCCTCGCCATGTTGCGGAAAACTAATGGTACTAATTTCTTTTAATGGCAACAGTAACTGAAAACTTCATTGACATGTCACCTTGCATGTCAGTCTATTGCTGTCAAAGTGTAAACAAACTTTATTTTAAATGTGCGCAATTGATTTTGTGAATTAAATTGCTAAAATCTTTTTATAGTCGTGAAAGAAAAGTGGTTCACAATGTGTTAAAGTATTTGTCGAAGAGAAATACTAAGGGTTCGGACAATATTTTCATTGAATAATTTTTCCGACAAGGGTGTCAAATTGACTGACATGTTTATCGTATAGTACAGTCCACTATGAAAATTAGCTGTGGTTTGTTTCAACTACCTATTTTAAAGTTTTATGTCATTTTCTAAGTGTTGAATTTTATGGAATTGGGAAAGAAGTACCGAGTTTGAAGCGTTCATGAGCAGACATTGCAGTTGAATATTCAAGTTCTGAATTTGATTATTCATGAATAATAAAATAAATCCTATTAGCTCGATTGATGTTTTCATTTAATTTATTTAAACCAGGTTACCTATAATAATTTGTTTCGTTAATTCATGAAAATGTCAAATTAGCCCGTAATCCTGAATCCTGATACATAAAGTTAGCCTATTAATTTAACACAGGTACGACTGTACTCAGTGTTGCACTATCAAATGCAATTGACGCGCCTCTATGCCAGGGTTTTTATGTTCCTGGTCAGGCTATACATGGAAAACTAAAATGAACACAAGCATTGTGCCAGTCTTTTGGAATACTAACCCCCGTATTCACAAACGATGCTTGCTTAACTGAAGCATCAAATCGAACGCACAGCGTTGAATAGAGCTCTGTGATTTTGGGGCACACTGAAAACCAGCGCCGTGGCCTTCGTCACCGTGGGCCACGGCATATGCTGAGTGGGGTCCCGTTGCAGTGGGCATCTTGTTGGTGGATGGGTGGCACTGCTCAGTTTACTCTTGTTTTTATTTTTTCTTCTTCCATTATTATGTGCCACTGTCATGTCTATGTAATTGCCTGTATTTGTGTGATGTCCATTGTAATAAATGTGTCTTTCTTTCTTTCTTGATTGGTTCGTGTGTCACCTTGTGCGTCCACGCGCACTTTGAGACCTCATAGTAATGTTTGTGAATACGGGCGTTAGTTGTTTTTAGTGCATCCTGTATGGCTGTCGTAAAAGGCGACTAAAGTATACATATCAGGAACATTCAGGTCTCTCCTATTGGCCAGCGTTGGGAGAATGTAGGCCCAAATCCTCCATTTCCTCTTCTCTCCTCTCAAATTTGTGGTCTTTTGTCCAGCACTGGACGTCATTTGGCTGAAACGAACGAAATTATAGTGTCGTGCTCCTGCAGTGGAGACTAAATGACCTGATGATGATTATGTTATTATTTCAGGCTCTCTCTAAGCTCGGATTGATCTTATACATTGGAGGCTTGATGGAACAGCTGATCATAAGGGTGAACGAAGAGTCCCGGCTGGCGGTAGCCATCTTGCTTGTTATTTGGGTAAGTTGGTAACATAAAAGAGTAGTTTGTAGATGTAGTTTCTTAACATCGTTTTGATTAAAACCAGCTCTTCATTTTGTTCTAAAACATTCGATTTCCTTAGAAAAATATTACAGAAAACATTCTAGCCTGTTATTAAATTGATCAGAAGCTATGCTTGATGTACAGTCACTAGTCAGCGTCAAATAGTTCATGACACGTCTTTGTTACAATGAGGGCTATCGTTTTTATACTTAACAGATGGCACCCCTGGCGATTGACAGGACCTTACTCTACAGTGGCGCCATCTTGATGAGTGCAAATGCGATAGTCCTCCTACCACTTTAGCACTCACCAGATGGTGCCACTGTCTTCGCTACTAGCAAGTGACAGGACCTTACTCTACAGTGGCGCAAACTGGTGAGCGCTAAAACGATAGCCCTCATTGGAATAAGGTTGTGTTGACAACTTTTTGGCTACTTTGGGTGTTACAGTACTTATTATTATTCTGTGGTGTCACGAACTATTTGGCGCTGACTGCCTACATCAATTGAACTTTGCCCCAGGTTTCCGGGGTGATCTCAGCGTGCGTGGACAACATACCGCTGACCACCATGATGGTTCGCGTGGTGGTCTCCATAGGGTCCAACCCTGCACTCAATCTGCCCATGGGGCCGCTGATCTGGGCGTTACTTTATGGAGCTTGCTTGGGAGGTACGCTATTATTATAGCTATAGGTGGATATTCTGAAGAAAGGTTGAAGAAACATTGGCATTTGGTAGAGTCGAAAAAGGCGTAGCGTCTTAAATGTGTAATACGTCATTTTACATTTGGCCAGTCGGCCAGACTTGAGACAAAAAGAACCTACCTACCTCATAAAGTCCTTTCTTGGAGACATTGGTTTTTAAACTACTCAAAGATGGAGTCAGAAAAATCAATATACCTACCTAGCAACTGCTCATTTTTAGGATTCTGAAAAACTACCTACTGAACCGCTTATGTATTGAATCATCATTTCAGCCATAGGACGTCACCTGCTGAACCTGCCCTAATGATTTCCATGTTGACCAGTTGGTAGCGGCCTGTGTCCAGCGCTTTCCTGCTTTATGATGTCGTCGGTCCACCTTGTGGGTGGTACGAGTATGTGTTGAATACCTACTAATATGTCTTGTTTCAGGTAACGGCACACTCATAGGCGCGAGCGCGAACGTGGTCTGCGCAGGAGTGGCGGAACAGCACGGCTACAAGTTCAGCTTCGGGCGGTTCCTTAGGGTCGGGCTGCCGATCATGATCGGGCATTTGATCGTGGCGTCGGCGTATTTGCTTGTATGCCACTGCGTTTTTAGCTGGCACTGATGCTTGTGAAATACAGTAAAGCCTGGTATGGACAGAGGGATAACCGCGCGGTTGCTGGGAAGAAAAGCCGTTTTCTGGCTTCGTACATTTGCCTCAAAACGTACATAAGGGCTCGATCCCACGGCAATCCAGTTTTGCAGGTATTACTGGATACCGCAAAACTGCGCATTCGTGTGTGCCTACACACACGTGTGTTTAAAATTCAAACTGATCAGTTCTTTTCGGCACAATGCAAACGGGACATTTGTTTGAATGTTAACGTTAAAACACTACTAAACGGGATCCTGCAAAAAACGGGATATGTCCGTGGGAACAAGCCCTAACCTTATGATTGCTGCCTTAGTGCCTCGTCAATAAGAAACCGCGCGGTTATCACGCGTGTCTGAACTCTGCACAAGGCCTAAGACTTCTCGTACCGTAGACTATCTAACTATATCGCCCGATTCTAATTTGTATGAAGAATCGGCCGATACCAAATCGGTGTAATGTGCGCACTTCCATACATGCCCATACTGATTAACTGCCCGACTATCGGCCGACGTAAAATCGGTGGTCTGTGCCTAGGTTTAGTCGGCCGATAGTTTGATAGGCTTCCAATTTGTATGAGGAATCGGCCGATAACAAACCAGTACCTCTAGCATGAACAACTTTCGTCTTCGAATCGTTAGCGTATTCGACAAAATTCCATAGTCAACCTTCGAATTAAATGATAACGTGCCAATTTTGATTCTCTAAATAAGTTTCGTGCAACCATTTCTCATACTAAGTTCACTTTACGACACGTTCACAAGGGCGCTGGTGTAGTTTTCGTACTAAATCTTTTAAAGGCGATTCGAATACGCATTCGAACTCGAAAGTTTTTCGTGCTAGCCGTACAGTAGGTAGGTATGTAATTTGCAGTGAAGTGAAAAGTGTGTAAAGTGTAATGAACATGTATGAAATGTTCATACTGCAGGCTGAGTGTGAGTTTACATCAAACGCTCACTAGTGAGCGCGTTTAAAAAATGTATGAAAATTTTAGTTTTTGAAAGTTTCCCGCTAGGGGCGCTGTACAATCCGTCATACATTTAATGTCATTTTTTGACGCACTCACTAGTGAGCGCGTTTGAAAAAAACTCACACTAGGCCCTCTGATTAAAGACCCGTCCAAAGTGTAATAGGAGTAAGTTAAACTAACCAATATTATGTAAACAAAATTATTTTATTAATTTAAGTGTAAGGAATTTACAAAATAATCAGTACAAAAAATGTTTAGTTTATTGCTTTATTAACAAAGTGTACAAAATCATAGCAAAATGTAGCATAATACACTCAGCGGCACGGAATTTGGCCCAAGCCTAAACACCCAGATATGAGGCCAAATAGGTGTTGTATACCTAAGTTTCGTGTGACATGTTAACAGAACATTTGTTTTTGTAAATTTAAGAGGCTAGATTTATAAAAAAATGCGTCTGTTTAACTTTTTTGACTCTAGAAAGGCATGTCGTTGTTGGAGCGTAAAGAGTACGAGTAAGTTTAAATTCGATATTAAATGTTGTAAGGGTTTGGCGTTTTGTTTTTTGTTTTTAAATTCATCTTAGGGTTATTCTCATTTCCATAATTTGAGAATAATGCCCATTACTCCAGCTCAAGTTGCTCAAATAGTGTTGCTTAGAAGTCAAGGGCGTATGCAGCTGGAGATGGCTGAAACTTTCAATTTATGGCGTACAAACTTAAGATACACGCTAAAAAGGCATGACCAGACCGCCTTTTACACAAGAATACCAAGAAGTGGGGAATTAAAGTGTAAATCAGCGCGCGACGACCCGATTATCCTGCTTGCAATATCAAGAAATCGGGTTCTCAAGAAACGTAGTGCGTTTGAGATACGCCAGCGTTTACAAACAGCAAGCCCAGTGAATATCAGTGAGCACACAATAAGAAGAAGGATGGAGGATCATAACCTGCATACTCGAAGACCAGCTCGAGGACCAGAACTTCTCCGATACCTTCGCGAAGTGCGACTTACGTTTTCTAGAGAACATGCAAATTGGACGTTAGACTAATGGAGTAAACTCTTTATGAAAACTGTCTGTTTGCGTAGTAACTCTTCTCCGCACCTTCTCTATACACTTCCACGGCCGTCTGGAGCTCTTAAGGTGACTCTGCAATCATCGATCCATAGAACTTTACTCCATTAGCCTTGCGTCCATTTTGCATGTTCTCTAGAAAACGTAAGTCGCACTTCGCGAAGGTATCGGAGAAGTTCTGGTCCTCTAGCTGGTCTTGGAGTATGCAGATTATGACCCTCCATCATTCTTCTTATTGTATGCTCACTGAAATTCACTGGGCTTGCTGTTTGTAAACGCTGGCGTATCTCAAACGTAGTGAGAACCCGATTTCTTGATATTGCAAGCAGGATAATCGGGTCGTCGCGCGCTGATTTACACCTTAATTCCCCACTTCTTGGTCTTCTTGGGTAAAAGGCGGTGTGGTCATGCCTTTTTAACGTGTATCTTAAGTTTGTACGCCATAAATTGAAAGTTTTAGCCATCTCCCGCTGCATACGCCCTTGACTTCCAAGCAACACTATTTGAGCAACTTGAGCTGGAGTAATGGCCATTATTCTCAAATTATGGAAACGAGAATAATCCTAAGATTAATTTAAAAACAAAAAACAAAACGCCAAACCCTTACAACATTTAATATCAAATTTAAACTTACCCGTACTCTTTACGCTCCAACAACGAAATGCGTTTCTTGAGTCAAAAAAGTTAAACAGACGCATTTTTTTATAAATCTAGCCTCTTAAATTAACAAAAACAAATGTTCTGTTAACATGTCACACGAAACTTAGGTATACAACACCTATTTGGCCTCATATCTGGTTGTTTAGGCTTGGGCCAAATTCCGTGCCGCTGAGTGTATTTTTAAGTTATGTAAAAGTTTAAAAAAATGTAATTTAGTTACTTTTATTAATATGACAAATTCACAAACATTGTTCTTCATTGACTAGAAAATTGTACCAAAATAATTGTAAAAATAAAAATAACAAATGGTAACTATAGATGATAATCACAATGTATTTTTTTGCGTTATTTAACTTTTAAGAATTTACAATACCTAAAAGTAAAATGTTTTAGTACATAATGAAAAATTTAGTTTTATATTAGTAAGGTACTAAAGTTATCTAATTAATCTCATAAACTGTTACAACTCGTTTGATTATTTACACATAACAGGTTTGTGTATGAATTCAATATACATTAGTTAGGTAATATACAAACACAAGTAAAGCCTCAAAAAATCTGTAGTGTAGTAAAGAATAAAATATTATTAGAGGTAAGATAGCCAGTTCCTCTGTGGTTGAGGATTCCAGGTGAAGCTCACTTCCACCTTCAGCCTGATCATCACTTTCCATCAGGTGAGATGCAGGCCATGAGCTTCCTCTTTGTGGATTAAAGAATTATTTTGTTAAGATTCTTTTAAACTCTCAATTATTTTTTCAAAGTCACTCCAAGAACAAAAACCATTTTCATCGATTTCACATTGGTTTAATTCCAGTAATTTGAACTGCGGTGGGTTTTCCAAACTGAGTTCTGAAGATTGTCTTAGCTGCGTATATCGATACCTCTGGGCTCAAAGGTCGTAAAGGACAAAATACCGAAAATGAGTTATTTATACAGTTGTGCTCAGAATTTAATTCTCTATCGATCTGTATATTTAGTTTGTCGAAATTCTCAAAAAAAGTGCCTTTACGACCCATCATATTTGATAAGCTAAACAGAATTCATCGTGAAAATTGGGATGTAAATACCATTTGATTTTTTAGTACAGTTGGCATGGTAGTAAAGAACAAGTAAACACAAATTTTTGGGCGTATAATGTACATGTAGTATAATCTATTGTCCTATACAACCCAAATTTTCATACCAAAGTCTAAATAATTTGTCCTTTACGCCCTTAGATTATCTAAACAAATATTTTTTAAATCTACAAAGAGAGGATATTAAAACAACTGAGTAGGTAAATTTTATAGACGTTTTATATTGTATTTAAGTATGTGCGTTTAGAAAAAACGAAAGAACTAAAAAATCATCAAAAATATGTAATAAAACTATTTTAGAGTGTAACGATTATGTGATTTGTACATTAAAAAATGATGACATCTATCCACATCGGGTAAAGTAATGATATATGACGAAATTAAGTACTTGTCAGGTAAAAGATAATTTAACAAAATGAAAACATGCTATAAAATAACGTATTATCTAATTAAGTTAGGATAGTCATCATACAAATTTGAAAAATGAAAAAGCTAGATGAGAAAAAGAAGTCACCTTACTGTAGTACCATAAGGTGTCATTATTACACGACTGCAGAAGGAGGGTTATGTTTTTTCGAGTGTATGTATGTTTTGTATGCATAAATCACACAAATGCTACGCTTTACAATTGTTTTTAATGATTTCCTAGTAATTTTGACTAACGTTCTTTAGAGTTTTGACTGTAACAATTATAATAAATAAGTCTAGTTTCTAAAGTTATTTGGATCAGCTAATAAAGTATAACTAGTAGGAAAAATATTTACGCTTAACATGGGAAAATATGTACTATAGTGTCAGTTGAGACTTCATGAACTAAAAAGCGTGAATGCACTTTTTTTCGAAGTTATATTTTTATAATAAAAATAATTGGCTTTTAAAAACTGTATTATGTAAGAGTAAAGTAAGTGGATATACTTTACTGGAATGAAAAACTTCCTACTTGTAAACTTACTTACCTAACATTTCTACTTTTGTACCAAGTACAATGACATAATTTCAAGCTATTATGAATAACAATGTTTAATCTATTTAGAATAATCATAGTTTGGTTTTCGTTTGTCCTTAATAATTCTATCCTATCTGCAGTATCATAAGTTCAACTGGTTGACAGACTGCCCTATAGAATTAAGTCCGCCATTTGTAGTTTTTCGAAACAATAATAATGATTAAATAAATAAATAAAATTAAATTGGTTTCGGCTTTTCGTGTAAAGTAGACATTATTATGAAGTTTTATTTAAAAACGTCATAATATTTATTTTCTAAAATCGCTCTTATATCGGAAATGGTATCTTCTAGTTCGAAGATATCAAAACTTCTGCTTGCTTAAATAATAGTTTCATAAATTGTGTGCATTAAATTTTGAAGCCACGAAAAATAATTTGATTTCATTTAAAATACTATAATTCATTAAAAATATGTGAAGAAATGGTATATTACATATCAAATACCATAACACATTAAATATTGAAGCTAAATTATCAATTTGCCCTTGCATAATACCTTACCTGGGTGTTCCGTTACGACCTATGAAAACCTATAAAACTCTGTAAATTGTCCTTTATTACCTTGATTTTGTAGTTTTGTAAAATAAAAATAGACTTACGCCCTGAGTAACTTGCCTAGGACGAATATTTGAGGGGTGTAAAGGTCTTTTTATTGTAATTTTGAGGGCGTAAAGGAAATCTATCTCAGTAAATACTGCCCTAGTCCAGTTTTTCAATACTTCCTCGGAAAATGCTGTGAATTCTAAGCACTTTCTTCTTAGGTCATATTTTAATAGCTCAAAAAACAAAAAAGTTATTGTCGAATAAAAAAATAAAAAATCGTTTTTTGCTTCTCCTGAAAAGTCGTACTTTGTCCTTTACGACCTTTGAGCCCAGAGGTATCGATATGATTGGTAAACGTAATGGATTTTTAATAATTCCTCCTTTTTGATGTTGTCAAACCATTTCTGAAATACAATTTTACCGCCTATTGGAGTCAATTCATGCTGGTTTTCCAACGAATATGGTTTGAAATCTAGGCTATTTAAGACGGTATACATATTTGCATCGTGACCCATTAATAGTGAAATCTTTGGGACGCTATCGTTGAGGAAAATATTGGACATGAATTTTATTAGAGGTTGTGCGATATCTTTTGCAACTAACGTTGAATTAAAAATTATATTATGGTAGCTTCTACTTAATCGCATCAAAGATTGCCATTCTTTAGGCGATTTAAGACATCCCCAAGCGACATCATTCAACGGAAACCCTTCGTAATACTGCATAACAAATGCATCAACAACAGAGTTCCCTATTTTCAACGGCCCAGATATGTTTGGCTTTTCTCCGCTCACAACGTATGCTTTATTTTTGTCCGTAGCCAGATTACATTTATGCTCATCTCTGCATATCTCAGAGTTCTTAAAATCTAAAATAAGGTCTAGATCTTTGTATGAATTATTTAAAGATAACGTTTTAAATTGAGCTTTCATGTCGTCTATGACAATATCTCTGAAAATCGCAGACTTATTATGTATAACTGGGTTAAAGACTGGGTCAACTTCAGTATTTGATGTGTGAATCGTAATATTACATTTTGGGAAAGCATTTTTTACGAATGCCAAAGCTGAAGCTCGTGTCCTTTGTTTTGTGTTAGCGTACACATAGAAAATATCTTCGGACGGACAATTTTCGGTTAGTAGACCTTCTTGAGACAACCAGACAGAGAAAAATCTTCCCATATATCCTTCTAAAATCTTTCCTTTAGCAGTTAGATACCCAGGCTTTTCTTTCCATGTAGGCCAAGTTCTCGGAGTCATATCGGCCAAATATTTAGACAATGGAGTTCGTAATCCATGTCTGCTTAATATCACTACTTGTTGAAGACTGAATCTTTGGTCTTGGGTCTCTCGAGTACGCACAAAACTCACAAACAGCAAAAAACAACACCAAAAAGTTTTTACACCCATTTTAAGATACTAAAGAGGTAAAAGTACACAGAACTTTTTATAACATATGCGTTCTAAATTCGAAAGACAAAGAACTGCAGTGAAGATACGAAGAGAGATTGATAAAATATTACATCATAGAAACAAGTATAGCTGAGTAGATTGCATAAGTAACACTTTTAGGCATAACGGACAACGGCCACTTACAATGTATAACTTAATCTACGTTTGCTTACCTAATGATTATTCTTCAAGATAACTAGACCTTTTAATTAACTATCACCTTTAAGAAAAACAATAAACGAAAGTGAAAACAAAATCGTAAAGTTTACAAACAAAACACAACACCATAGAGAAAAGTAATACATAGCACAACACATTCGATGAAATGTCAACTTTTTTATCTTAACGACTGTCACTGCGCTACGAGTGTCTGTCAGGTCAGCGTTAACGTTAAAATAACGCAATAACGGTATTCGGTATTTTTTTTTTTGCATTTTGAGCATGTTTAGCTTCTGCACGGTTCGCATAGATCCATCCTGTCCCAAATTTGCCTTCGCATTCAATTACAAATGCGACTAACAAGGTCACATCTTTTCACTTGTATTACACGATATTGAAGTATCTATTATGGTCAAGATACCACGGCAATCTGGCAAATGCCACGGCTTAAGACCCTAAACCCTCCTCCCCACAGAACAAATATACCCTCCCCAAGGTCCATCACATGGCCCCCCTCTGAAAAATAGCCCCAGACTTGGTACGCCACGGGCTCCATGCAAAAAATTGGCCACGGGCCTCGGATTGTAGTTTATTTAGACGCCACTGATTTTATGGCAAGTAAACAAACAAATACCCCATTGGGTTCAAGGGGCAATGATCATACACAAATTATTTGACTGAGTTTGCAGCACGACATCATTTGCATAACTATGTACATTTAATTTTGCAAACTATTAAAATAATATAGCTCTGCCTTTCGTCACGTTTCCACTGATAACGTGCAAGCAAGTTCATGACCGACTGGCTAGACTTGATATTAATAGAAAATCAGTGATTAAGATGTCGTGCCCTGCGTGCTCAAACAACTGCACGCAAAAAGATTTAATGAAGGCTACTGACAATGCCACTCTTCTGGCTGAGTTTTGGGCTGACTCTGTGTAGGTTTGTTGTCGACACGATACTATAAATAGGAAGTGACTAGTTATTAAGTAAAATATCAACCTTTTGTTTCCTGTAACTCTCCCACCAAGTTTTGTGGAAGTACAGTAAAATAACTTATTGGAATTCTTAAGTAGGTACCTACTTAGCTCGAAATAAAAGTAGGTACCTACTTATTTAATGCCTTCTCGTTTACTCGGTCATGTTGTAATATCAAGATGCGATGGGGGCTGGAATGTAGGTAGGTATGTGCCGAATCAAAAATATAACCCTCCTTCCGTAGTAGTCGAGTAAAAAGGAATTAGTTCGATTCATGGAAGTAGTAGTAGTAGTAGTACTTGGGTAGGTTTTATTTAGGCTTAGATTATTCTAAAACATAATTTTCTACATTATCCTAATTACATAGTTGCAGGGGTTAATAATTTCTTTAAGAATTTTCAGTTAGTTTACATTATATTAAGCACCTTTACAAAGTCACTCCACGGACAAAAACCTTCTGTGTTCACTTTACAGTCTTTCAATTCCATAGTTTTTGAAAGAGGCTTCTCTAAATCGACGCCATTTCTCAACTGCTCCATAGAGTAATAAACGTATTCGATCTTCAAATACAAATTTGAGTCATCGCCGCGCCATTTTTGAAAAACAATTTTCCCGCCAACCGGCGTCAGTTCCAGCTGACCTGTCAAACTGTATGGAGAGAACCCCAAGGCCGCCATCACACTATTTAGATTCGAGTCATGTCCTACCAACATAGTGAATTTAGACGCGGGGGAATCCAAAAGTTTGTCGCGCATGTATTTCAGCATCGGCCGAGAAATATCTCTTGATAAGTACGACTGATTGAATCGCACGTTTTGGTTTTCTCTAGTCAATTTCAATAGAGTTTCAAAGTCTGTTTGGTCCAATTTCCCCCATGCGATGTCTTCCATCGGCGAGCCATTGTAGTAACTCATCAAGAAGAAATCTGCTACAGAATTTCCTATAGCCAAAGGCCCATTAACATTCGGCTCTTCGCCGACTTGGTAAACAATAGAATCCTTTGCCATGAAATCGCATAGCTTTTGTTGTTTACAAATATCCGAATTTTCCATGTCCATTATTCGGTTCAAAATTTGATACGCGTCTTTCAATTTCAAATTGTCTAATTTTTCATTCATATGAAAAACATAATCTTCTCTAAAAGAGTCTGTAGTGTTTCTTACAATCGGTAAAAACATGAATTCTTTTTGATTATTTTTTTTATAGTGTACAACATTGCAGTTCATGAATGCACTCCTCGCGAACGCCTCAGCAGTCTCTATTGTTCTATGTACTTTATTCGGGTAAATATACACTGATTCATCACTTGGACACTCGTCTGTTAACAATGCAGTACTTTTCAGCCACTGATAGAAGTATTTACCCATTTTTTCTTCTATTTCAACACCTTTTTCAGTCAAAAATGAAGCTGGCACGTTCCACTCAGGCCATTTCAACGTAGTCACCGTCTGTAGATCTTCCGACAGTGGAGCTCTAATATTATGCCTACTTAGAACAAAAACTTGCTGCAACTCGTAACTGGCCACTAATACTGCGAGATTACAAATAAAAAATGACGAAAAAACTTTTCCCGCCATTTTTGACACTGACAACTTATTTTTTTATCACTTGCGCATAGAATCAATTGTTATTATTATTCAGGGAAGCGACGTACTGAACTGCAACTTTAGCAAGACTGATTACGTCTCGCTGATCCGATCTGCACGTTTCGTAAACCGCAAAACGATAAAAAGGAACTGCGAGGCACCGTTCACACCGAATCGTAACATTCGACTGGTTGAGCAACGATCGATTGTATTTTGTTTCTAATTGATACGAGTTTTTTAATCAGATAATTAGAAAAATTACACAAAATTATAACAAGGTTTTTAATTATTATTTTAATGCAACCGACGCTGTGTAGGTTTGTTGTCGACACGACAAGAAGAAGAATGCAACATTGACCGTAGTATTGTCCGTGGTGCATGCATAATATCTTTTCATAAAGGTTTATAAACCTTTGTTTGTCACCTGTCATCCGCTTTGCAATGGAGGGAAATCGAACCTTAATTTCGAACACCACTATCCTATGTTCTTCTGATTAATTTCGTTGCGGGTCCAATGACAGTTTAATTTTTTCCCGGGACAAACTTGACCTTCACTGGTGGGGTTTTTATTGGCTGTCAATCTGTGGATCCTGGCTACACAGGGGTTGCAGCGATGGGAACGAGAGGTGGGAATAGTTCCGTATCCCGTATAGGCCAAGAATTTCCCTGTTGTGGATAAAAAATCATGAATTATTTAATAGTCATTGTGCAAATCTTGTTATTGAGGACTCAAAGGTCGGGACCGCGAAACTGACACGTCATTGTAACAAATAAAACCACGTCAACGATACAATAAAATTAATTATACACGAGTGATGAAATCTGAATCGACCTTATCTAAAATGCCAATGAACCATTATCGCAGTTAGATAACAATAAAACTTAAAATAACAATCTCTATTTATACCTATAAAATAAAAAATTGAGATTTTAATGCCCGTATTCACAAACATTACTATGAGGTCACACAGTACGCGTGCGTGGACGCACAGGGTCACACACGAACCAGTCACAGAGCTCTATTCAACGCTGTGCGTCCGATTTGTTGCTTCTTTTAAGCAAGCATCGTTTGTGAATTGAGAGTCGAGAAAGAGCAATGTTCAGAAGCGGAGGCCACGTGGAAAGCACAGCGTAGGACGTCCACCTACAAGGGGGAAGACCTCATAAAGGTAGCAGGAAGGCGCTGGATGCAGGCCGCTACCAACCGGGCGATGTGGAAATCATTGGGGGAGGCCTATGTTCAGCAGTGGACGTCCTGTGGCTGAAATGATGATAATAGGTTGAGTTCGAGTAAGTACCTAGACCAGAGTTTCCCAATTTTTTTTTGCCAAGGAACCCTAATTGATTATACTTTTCCTAGCGGAACCCCCGTACTACTCCGCCCGCACGCCCTGCCCCTCCCTTGTGCGTAAACAAGTCGGTGCGAGCGAACAACGTCGGTCACGAAACCTGGGATAATATTTTTTACGGAACCCTTGGGGCCTTTCCACGGAACCCCAGGGTTCCGCGGACCACCTTTCGGGAACCGCTGACCTAGACCTACTTAGGTAGGTACCTATTTATAAATACTGAGTAACGCTGCCATCCAAAATAATGCAAAATACTTTACATATTATTGACTGACCTCTTACTAACCTAATTCGCTACAATAAACCGGCCAAGTGCGAGTCGGACTTGCGCACGAAGGGTTCCGTATGACAATTTTGTAGTTGTATGGGATTATTTCTTTCAAGCGTCTACCTGTTTGGTACCGTTATTAATAAGCAAAAAATTAGCCAAGTGTGTGTCGTGCCACGCGCAGTGTAGGGTTCCGTAGTTGTCCGGCGTTAACACAATATATTTCAGAAGCAAGCAATTAGGTACTTCATCTAAAGTCACTTTTAATATTTTCTTCTAAGGAATTTTTATTAGTTAAGAAATTTTATAATACATGAGTTAAATGACTCTTAAACTAAGGAACTGATCTATCTTAACCGTTATAGTTTTCCTTGAAAGTTCATGAAAAGCAGAATTATTATGAATTTTTCCATATTTTTCAAGCTAACAGTTTAGNTAAGAAATTTTATAATACATGAGTTAAATGACTCTTAAACTAAGGAACTGATCTATCTTAACCGTTATAGTTTTCCTTGAAAGTTCATGAAAAGCAGAATTATTATGAATTTTTCCATATTTTTCAAGCTAACAGTTTAGTTTTTAGAGGAGGGGGGGATGGGGGGGGATGGGGGGGGTTGACATTTATAATAGACAGCGAGTCTTAGTAATAGGGTCCCGTTTTTACCCTTTGGGTATGGAACCCTAATAAGTACAATTCCTTGTTTGTTGATGTGTTTTGGCAGGTAGATGGCCAGTTCTGTGTTGTGGATTCCGGGTGAAGCTCGCCTACCCTTGGATCTCCATCAGGTAAGAAGGTGACTGGGTTGCAACATCTACTTTAACTTTAACAAACTTCAAAAGTCTGTCAAACTCCATACAAAAATTAGCCGTTAATGTTTAAAGTAAGGTGGTGCAATTCAGCATAATGAGGGCTATCGTTTTAGCGCTCACCAGTTGGCGCCACCTGTAGAGTAAGGTCCTGTCAATCGTCAGGGGTGCCAACTGTTCAGTATAAAAACGATAGCCCTCATTGTGGTAACATTTCTAAATTTTCTCAAGAAACAAAGTTACTTTATTGGCAAAGACCGGAGACTAAAGAAAAGTAATTCAAATTCAAATGTATAATGCATGTCACATTACAATTTATATGTTGTTGCAAAATAGAGGTATACATGTACAAGTACTAAAATCACTGCTCGTTCTAAAGCGGGTTTTCCACTGCGAGCGGAGCGAGCCCAATTAGGGTTTGTACCCGGGTAATCCCGGAACCGAAAGAACCGGGAAAACCCGGGTTTTTTCGACAGCTTAAGAACCGGGTTTTAAAAATTCAAAACCCGGTTCTTTCGGTACTTTCGGGTTTTGCATATTTATCTAAAAATCTGTTATAGGTATTAGGCATGAGTCGTAACAAGAACATTGCGAACGTATAGAGAACCTAAAGATATCAGATTAGCTACTAATAAAGATTACCTACTTATTGGTTTTGTATTTTGTTTTTTTTTATGAAATATGTAAATATTTGAAGCATTTTTCTTACATTTTTTAACCTCCTGGGGCCTGGCGTCATATATTTATTACATAAAACAAAAAAATATAAATCAACGCTATCTGTTGAAATTTACCAGAACTTTTACGTTAGTTAGTTAGATGGTGCATCTGTCCATCATTCTTAGCTGTGATTGGCTAGTGAAGTGACATTTATATTTTTTTATCTTTAATTGAACTAGCGACGGCGCCGCGACCGGGAACAAGTGGTTAGTAATAATGAAATTTTTACTAAAATATAAACGATTTCTATAAGCCTTTGTTATTATTCGTTTTGGGATTTGAACTGTTTTATTATCTGAGTATCACTGATTGTGGAAATACGTATGAAAACTACGAAAACCATGGTGAAATCTGAATGTCATACAGGTATTACATGAGGTCCCAATTACTAGTGTAAACTGACAGAGCCCAGTGTAATACCTGTATGACATTATACATTTTCTATTAAATAGCATACAATCTGATATAATTTTCTTATTTGTTTAGGTAGATATATGCGAATATAACATATTAGAACACNGTCGGTCCGAGTACAGGAGCAGAGCACGAGGACGATTCCTCTGCAGTGAGGCGTTAGGCAGGGAGATGTTATATCTCCTAAACTGTTCACCACTGCATTGGAAGACGCTTTCAAACTCCTTGAATGGAAAGGATTCGGCATAAACATTAATGGCGAGTACATCACTCACCTTCGGTTTGCCCACGATACTGATTGTGGTCATGGCAGAATCGTTGTAAGATCTTGGCACAATGCTCAAAGACCTTAATCGAGTTTCCTAACAGGTAGGCCTGAGGATGAATATGGACAAAACAAAGCTTATGTCCAATGTCCATGTTGCGCCCTACCCAGTTTCGGTTGGGAGCTCAATCCTCGAGATTGTTGACGATCCAGCTAGGTAGGTCCAATTTAGAAAAGGGAGTCAATCGTCGAATCCAACTCGGCTAGGCAGCGTTCGGGAAACTACGCAACATCTTTTCATCCAAAATACCTCAGTGCCTGAGGACGAAAGTCTAAAACCAATGTGTGTTACCAGTGATGACTTATGGCTCGGAAACGTGGCCTCTCACTATAGGCCTTATACAGAAGCTCAAAGTTGCACAGCGTGTTTCTTTATGAGATCGAATCAGAAATGAGGAGATCCGTAAATGAACTAAAGTAGCGACTTTAGTTCATTTACGGATCTCCTCATTTCTATGTCAGCGGACTCAGCGGACATAGCCCGACGCGGACGCAGAACTGACGGCCGATGGGGCAGGAAGGTCCTGGAATGGAGGCCGCGTACCGGAAAACGCAGCGTGGGACGTCCACCCACAAGGTGGACCGACGACATCATAAAGGTAGCAGGGAAGCGCTGGACGCAAGCCGCTACCAATCGATCAACATGGAAAGCATTGGGGGAGGTTTATGTTCAGCAATGGACGTCCTATCCTATGGTTTAAAATTAAATGATGATGATGATGATATTTTTGTGTGAGAGTTGGCAACACTCCTTCTCTTTTATTTGCTTTGCATCTGACAGTCAATATATAAATAGTCAAATATATCGATAAGTTGGATGAAAAAGACTGATTGTGGTGTAATACCTCAATTGAAAACTAATTATTTTACTTTTTTTTTATTTTTGGGAGTAGAATTTAGTAAAAATAGAAAAATATTGTAAATCATGTTTGTTGATTATTCCTAGTCTATTCAAAGAAGTGTTATTTCAATAAAAAAAACATAATCAAAATATTGTTTTTTTGGAACCGAAAGAACCGAAAAAACCGGGGCTCCCGGTTCTTATGACCACCAGACCCGAAAAACCCGGTTCCTCAAACCAGAACCGATTCTGCATTCCCTAAGCCCAATAAAGACTCCGTTTATTCATAAATTATCTATTTCCACCAATAAAGAGTCGAGAGAAAATGAAAAATTATAAAAAAGGGTATTTTATTATATTTTATTTTACAATTTTTAGTGGTTTCTCAATCTCCGGGCCCGGCCCTAAGCTGGATTAATGATTCGATTTTAATTTATATTATTTATCACTAAAGTGCTCGAAAAGACAAAT